TCAGCTACTTGGGAGGCTGAGGCAGGAGGATTGCTTGAGCCCAGGAGTTTGAGGTTGCTGTGAGCTAGGCTGATGCCATGGCACTCTAGCCTGGGCAACAGAGCGAGACTCTGTCTCAACAATGACAAAAAAAAACTGTCCTTTTTCTGAAGTCCTGCAAGCTGAAGCTGGACAACTTGATATTAACTTCAGAGAAATCACAACAGTTCATGTACAGACAACCTTCAAAACATACAAACTGCAAACCAGGGAAATCTGTCAGATTGCTACAGCCCATCCTCACTCCATCCGAAGATGTTTGGGGCCAAGTACCTGCAATCTTCTTGACTGTTGCCCTCTGGACTCAGAAACTGAGTTTATAGTTTGTTCCAACTATTGATCTTTATTTTTTTAAAATTTAAATAGAAACTAAACGCACCTCATTAAAGGGCTGACAGCTTACACTATCCAGCAGATCATTCAGCTGGCCCTTCCTGAATAAAAGGTGACCCAACAACTAAGGGGACTGACAAAGAGTCTTTGCTTGGCCAAACTTTATTCAGCCTCCTGAACCTTCTCCTAGGTAGGCCCTTCTCTACACTCTTTTGTAAAATCCAGTTTTACCAAAGAACCCTGCTAAGTCAGTTTAGCAAGAACCCCACCCTCGGCCTCTGGTTTCCTCTGATATCTGACCAGGCTCCTCACTCCCTGCTGTCCCCCAGGTGGTGTCTGGTCACCCTGGCCTGGTTGCAGCAGGAATCTGTTAGATCAGTTGAGCCAGAGTCCCCCAAACCTGATGTTTCCTCTTAGACATTTTCCATCGTGACCCCGCCCTGCTCCTTGGCTATAAAGCTCCACTTGGCTGTGCCATAGTCGGAAATGAGCCCAGTCTCTCTCCTCCACTGCAAGACCCTGTTGCAGTGATCCCTATGCCTGTGGCCGTGGTGCTGAATAGAGTCTTCCTTGCCATGCTTTAACAAGTGTCACTGAGTAACTTTTTCTTCAACAGTATCAATGCTAACTTCCTGATTAAAATCATTTTGCTATGGACAGGTACAGTGTTAACATTTTGGGAAACTGGTCAGCCTGTGGCTCACACCTGTAGTCCAGCTACTCAGGAAGCTCAGGCAGGAGGATCACTTGAGCCCAGGAGTTTGAGCGAGGTTACAGGGAGCTATGATTGTGCCACTCCACTCCAGCCTGGGTGACAGAACGAGACCTCGTCTCTTATCCAAAAAAAAAAAAAAATGGAGAAACTGGGTGGAAGATATTGGAATTCTTTGCTCTATTTTTTAAATCTTTTAGCAAATTGAAATCATTTTGAAATGAAAAGGTTCATAAAGTGAGGAGAGGAGGTGTTGCAGGTGGAGCCAGAGGCCTGTGCAGGTCCCCTCCCCTCGCCTCCCCCTGCTCAGCACCGGGCAGCTCACAGTGGGCACCACTGTGCTGGAGGGTCTGGGTCCTGGTGTCGGCGGGGAAGCCAGCCTCCCTGTGGCCAGGCTAGGCAGAGCCCACAGGAACTTGGCACGCAGCCATCCAGCTGCAGTGGTTGGTTGGTGAGTTGGGGGCTCCACCAGCCCCAGTCAGACTTGAGACCTCAGACCTGCCCACACAATCTGGGACAGGCCATGTGACAGACGGAGGCTCACACTGTGGGACCTGGGCTGGCTCTGGCCTCAGAGTCACAACGATTGACGGCTGGAGACTAGAGCTCCAGCCCATCCCAGGCCGGAGGAGGACCCCTTCCTCTCAGGGGCTTGTGTTTCCAGCTCAGCTCGGCTCACCCATGAACCAGGCCTCTGCTGAAGGGCCCAGATGATGCCGTCCTCTGGCAGATGACACCAGGAGACACGGTGCTGGGGAGTCTGTGGGCAGGCCCAAGGCCACGCTTGCTCATGGACTTGCCTCCACGTCTGTCCACCCCACACCTCCAGCCTCCACATCTACACAGCTCAACTCAGCCACCTCAGGCCAGAGGGCGAGGCAGCTTATGTGGGAAGGGGCATCTGAGAAGGGGAGAAGGGAACTGATGTTGAGGACTCAGGGGTCAGACCATGTGGTGACAAGCACAGAGGACTGGCGAGGTCGTGCTGGGGCCCAGGCTCAGGCCTTCCTGGGCAGCATGTCCAAAGCTCTTCCAGAAGGCCCTGGATTCCCAAGGCCCCTGAACCCTCCTACAGCACAGGCCATGCCTTAAGGGACTAGCCTAAACCTGGGCTTGGGAAGCACCGGCACTGTTAGCCTTGGTTGCAGTGTTGCCCTGGCCAGGCATCAGCGGAGGGGCAGGCAAGAGAGGGAAGGTCCCTGCCTTCCATTCTGACAGGGAGACATGCAAGAAATGATCCAAACACATGACACGTCAGATGGTGCTAACTGCCATAGGGAAAAACAGAGCAGGCATGAGCATGGAAGACTGCAATTTTTCTTATTCTTTTTTTTTTAAGACAGGGCCTTGCTCCGTCACCCAGGCTAGAGTGCATTGGTGTCATCATAGCTTACAGCAATCTCAAACTCCTGAGCTACAGCGATCCTCCTGCCACAGCCTCCTGAGTAGCTGGGACTACGGGTACGCGCCACTACAACTGGCATATTGTCAGAATTTTTTTGTAGAAACAGGGTCTGGCTTTGTTTCCCAGGCTGGTCTCAAATGCCTGATCTCAAGTGATCCTCCCGTACAGGCATGAGCCACCATGCCCAGCCTACAACTTTAAATGGGATGCCTCCCTGAGACTGTAACAGACCTCCAAGAGGTGAGGGAGAGCGCGTTTGGGTGTCTGCAGGAGGTCATCAGTGGAGGGGACGGCAAGTGCAAAGGCCTTGGGGCAGGAGTGGAGCAGAGTGCCAGGCTGGGAGCAGGGCGAAGGTGGGAGCAGTGCCAGGTACTGACTGCAGTGACACCAGCATGGGAAGACACTGGTCCTGTCCTGGCCTGTGGCTCTGCCATTCCACCTGGCTGGGAACCGAGGGGTATTACGGTGTCTCCCAAAGCCCGTAAGGTAAACATCACAATTGCATTCATCTGTTCAGGCTGCTGTAACAAAGCACCAAAACAGAACAGCTCAGACATTCACTGTCCCATTGCTGGAGGCTGGACATCTGAGATCAGGGGCGGCAGGGCCCTGCCCCTCTGAAGGCTCAGGAGAGGCTCAGGCCTCCCTCTGGCTTTTGGTGCCGCCTCGGCTATGGCAACAGAACTGCAGTCTCCACACATGGTCTCGCTGTGCATGTCTGTCCCTGTGTCCAAATCTTCCTCTTTTTATACGGACACCTGTCATCTTGGATTAGAGTCTACCATGTGACTGCATTCTATTTTGGTCCTCTCTAGAAAGACCATGTCTCCAAACAGTCAAACTCGGAGGCACCAGGTGCAGGACACCAACGTGTTGGTGGTGGACACACCTCGATGCATAATAACTGGACCCGCGCCGCAGCCGCCCCTCCTCAGGGGCACAGGCTGCCGCAGAGCGACCAGCGGCAGGGCTTGGAGAGCTCTTCCTGGGCAGGTCTGGTCTCTGGGACAGAGGGGACACTCGGGGAGGCACTTCCTGAGGGCGGGTGCCCAGCCGGGGGTGCCGGCACAGCACACGGGGCAGGGACGATGCTGGCAGCAGGGGCAGTGCCTCGAGCTGGGAGCCTGTCTTCCTGATTCAGCCAGACACGGCGGGACGTGGGTCCTCAGTTTCCCCTTGGGCCTGGAGGCGTGGGCTGGGTTGCCACTGGGAACCCTGTTCTGAGTTCAGAATGAGCCATGGAGGGCACCAGGCCCCAGCAGTGTGGTTGGGGCAGGGAGGCCCCTGTTCCTCTCCAGGCTTGGAAGCCCTGGTGCAGGCCCACACCTACCCTGCAATCATGACCCCAGAAGGCCAAGTGGGCAGGGGCTGCAGAGGCAGGGAAAGCCTGGGGCTGAGGTTGGATACGGGGCCCCCCATGCTTGGCCCAGCCTGGGAACACATGCTCCAGAGTGCCAGCGCATGAGGAGCTCCTGGGGCTGAGATAGACCAGCCTTGGGCCTGCCCTGCTGCCCCTCCTGCCATCCCTGGGCCTCCACAGTTGGTCTCTCCCTCCAAGGGTCCCCAAGGGGCTCCCATGGCCACCTGATGAACCCAGTACCTACCGTGTCCCACGTGCATGGGCTCTCTTGCAACAAAGGAGGAAGCAGAAAGCCTTGTGCAGGAGTCCGTGTGCACACAGCAGCTCCTGCCAATGCCTGGCCCACAGGGAAGGGCCTCAGGACGCACACTCTTGCCACAGCCGCAGTTTATTATCAACAGCTCGTGTTCAAGGACAGATTCCCTGAAGTCCGACCCCTTGAGGAAGACGGCAGGGGCTGGCTGTGCCCGCTTGCTGATACAGGCTGCCAGAACCCACAGCCCCCAACTGGGCCAGCAGGGCCCCGAGAGACTCAGCACACATGGAACCACCCAGCATGCGCGGAACTGTCCAAACACGCAATGCCACGCAGTGCACAGGCAGGACCACTGACACCGCCGCCAAGCCCGTGTTTCTGTTGTGAGGGTGGGCTCTCCTCAGCCTTCCCCGTGCCTGTGTCCACACGGGCCGGTCTCCTCTACAGGAGTAGGGCTAGTTGCTGGGAATCAAAGCATGCCCGTGCCCTATGCCCCCCAGGAGGGGGGCCACTTCTAAATACAAGCCTACTTCTGTCATTTGAGCAGAACAAAGACCCACCGGCCAGAAGCGCGTGAAGGGTGAGAGGCACTCCCCGCCTGCCTGGCACATGTGCGTGTGCATGAATCTGTGCAAGTGTGCGTGCACACACGTGCCTTGTGTGTGTGCATGTGTGTGCCTTTGCACATGTGAGGGGGTGGGCCCAGGTGTACGCACACGTTCACGTGTATTCACTCCTGGGCCCATCCCAGACCTGGTGTCAGAGTTTGCTGCCCCCCATTGGCATAAGGGCAGACTCGGAGCTGGGCACAGGGACACAAGACCGAAAACACAAATCAGAAGCCCTTGATCCTGGGGGACGCTGGCCGAGTCCCAGGCAGTGCCGTGTGGCCAGGGAAGTTGCCCTTCCAAGCTGGTCCCTGAGGCAAAGTCTCCCATGAGCCCGCTGGCTGCACCCAGAGGTGGGGGTTAACTCTGCAGAGTGAACTCATGGGTGCTGGTCTCCCAGCGGGAGGGGTCCTTGTCCAGCATGCTGCGCTCAGTGAAGGTCACATGGCCGTCTGCGTCCACGAGGATGATGGTGTTGGTTCTGAAAAAAGAGCACAGGCCACATGGTCACCCCACATCCCTCAGCCTCTGCCCTGCCTGTCAGAGCACAGGAGGGGCCAGATGGAGGCAGGGAGGGGCAGCCCCAGCCTGGGGAACGTGGGGGCTGTCGGAGGCATCTGGACGCCCACACCCAGTGAGTCTGTCCCTTCCACTCTGAAACACCCCAGCCTGCCCCTGCCACTCTCACATGGCAGCCCCTGGGCTGACCATGCACCTCTCCACTCAGGACATCAGGTCATGCCTGGACACCAGAGGGCTTGACCTCTGAGAGGTGGAGCCCTCAACCGCCTGGGGCCCGCCCAGGCCTTCTCCACCTGGAAAGCTCCCTCCTGCTCCCCTCCTTTGCCACCCAGGCCAAGTCAGTCTGCCCAGGGGCCCAGCGCTCCCCCTTCTCTCCTCTCCAGCCCTCCCCATGGCAGGTCCTCACAGACGGGGCAGCCCCAGCACAGGCCGCCACCCAGAGTGGGCACACACTGAGGGCTCTCCACAGGCCTGGACCTGGCAGCCACGCAGCCAGCCAGCGGCAGACCTGGCTCCTGTCTCCCCCATGCATGCGGATCCGCGTCAGCAAACACGTTAGTCGTGAAAGTAAGCCTGCAACAGAAGACGGGCTGGAGGAAACAGCACCCTGCGCCCGCCAAGAGGAGAGCCGGCACCACGCCGGGGTGCAGCCCGTGGGCCTAAAGCCAGTGCTGGCGTCTGCCAGTGCACAAGCATCCCTGATGCCATCACGCCCCTCGTGGCTGTGTCCTGCCTGGCTCCTCACTGGCAGGGGGCAGCCCGGAGGCCCACAGAGGAGGCAATGGAAGCCCTGGAGCCTCGAGCTCGCCCTCCAGGGCCCTGGGGAGCCCGACGGGTAACTTGGAGCGTGCTTGCCACCGCAGCTGCGTCTAAACAGGGCAGAGATCTGGAGCCCACTCACCAGGGGAAGGAGCGTGGCCCTGGCTAGCTATGGAGCATGGGGAAGCGTGGTTTCTTGGCCTGCCCTCCAACCAGGAGATGGGATGCAGGATAGGAAGGTGCTGCCCTGGCAGCCCTGTCATACCTGGTGCCATAGCCCGGGCAGCGCACGCACACGGCCGCGTACTTGTTCAGGATGGGCTGCACATACTCCTGGCCCTGGTCCTCGATGGCCGGGTCTGGTAGTTGCCTGCAAGGATGGGGTGGGGTAGCCGTCAGTCCTGCCTGCAGCCGCATCCAGGAGGTGGCCCTGCCTGCCATTCTGGCTGGCTTTAGAAAGCGACTGGGAGGAACCCTGTCGATTATTCATACACTTTTCTACTCAGGGCTGCAAACCTCCATCCACCTTTCCACCTAGGACTCCATCACTGAGCCCGGGCCCTACGTGGCACACACCTTCCCTGCTTGCCCTGACAGGCACCCCATGGGCATCTGTCCACTCCAGCCCTGTGATGTGCCAGACACCATAGCCAGTGCCCGGCTACAGCTGCCAACGAGAGCAGTCAGGGCCTGTCACAGGCCTGCCCAGCATGGCAAAGGGACCGGGGGCCGCATGGACTCATAGCTGGGAGGGGGCTCCCCGAGGGGAGATACTGAGGCTGAAGGCTGGAACCACAGCTCAGAGGCCCAGAGCAGGGGGCTGGTGGGGAGAAGAGCGGGAGGCAGCCATGGGGGCTCCTCTGAGGAGTGGGCTGGACAGGGTGGGAGTAGATGCTGGGTCACCCAGGCAGGATGGTAGCGAGGCCTGGTAAGGAAGGGAGGGACATGGGGGCCGCCGCACCGGGTTGTAAGAAGGCTGGCTTGGTGAGCACTGGGACCCCAGCTGGGGAGGCCAAGACCTCGATGCCCAATGTCCAAGGTGCTCACCCAGAGGCTGCCTGAGGGGTCTGGGGGCCTACGGCTGAGGGAGTAGCAGGGGTACTCCCCCCAGGCAGTTCCTGCGTGGCAAGTCCCTGCCTCCCACTCAGCCCACAGTCACTGGCGAAAGAGCATGTGGGAAGCTCCGTCAACCCGGCCACTCACTTCTGTGGTGTGTCTCTTCCCCACCAGGTTTGCTGAGTGCCTGGAATCTTCCAAAATCTCCCTCTAGCCCTCGGCATGCAGAGGGGAGCATCCAGCTGCTCTGGGCCCCACGTGAGCCTGCATGGAACCCCAAGCCCAGAAGCCCAGGCGGTGCCACCTCTCATTGGAAACTGCAGCTGCCCACGGGGACAAGCAGGAGGCAGAGGACAGAGTGTCCGTCAGGGCCCCCCGCAGCCATGACCCAGCCTGGGCACCGGCACCAGTCCCCTCCTCTCTGCCTCGGGAGACTCACGCCTCTTCGTTGCTGAGCACGTCCAGGAGCTGGGCGACCAGCACGTCCTTGGGCAGCACCTGGCTCTGCGCCACGGCCTCCTGGAAGAGCCGCTTTCCGAAGCACAGCTTCCTCCAGGGCGTGTCCAGCAGCGCGTTGCTGAGCCCGTAGACGCCTGCAGGGAGGGCAGCCTGGCCATGCGGAGGCCCCGCTGTGCCATCTCGGGGTGAACCCCCCCGTCCAGCACAGGGTGAGGCGCGAGGGCTGCAGCTGGGGTGGCACAGCCAGACCAGCCAGAGGCCAAGCCACCCCCATTCTCCGGCACCTTCCCTACGCCCATTCCAGACCCACATGTGTGGCGAGGGGTAGAGAACTCAACACGGGGCAGAGGCCCATGGGAGACCCCGGCGCACAGATGCTAAGCAGCTTGGGTGGAATAAACAAATTACGACCCGAAGAGGGAAAGGGGATGGTGTAAAGGGAGGCACCTCCGACCTCGCCCACCTAGGGGCGCCCACCAAGGTTAGTGCCGACTCATATCAGTGCTCAGGAAACCCCCAACACTGGGGACAGCCCCCCCACAGGGTGTGGGCAGGGCCTCGGCAGAGCAGGGCCACCTCTGTGTGCCAGCCAGACCCTGGCTGGGGGACCCGGGGGAGCTTGGTGCCAGGACTCTGAGCTGGGGTTTCTCAGAACAAGTCCCAGAGCGGTGACAGAAGCAGGACCAAAAGGAAAAGGTTCCTCATGTCACAGAAGTGAGGGGTACAGACTTGAGGCAGAGAGGCTGGGCGATGGGGGCGGCCTGCTCAGAGCTGTGCACCCTGACACTGCGTCAGGGACGCCAGCATGTCACCCTCTGTCCTGCCAAACTCCCGGGTGCGGACCTCAGCCAAGTCTGACACTGCTCCAGGTGCTTCCTAGGGGAACGGCCCTGTCTCTGCCGGGGCCCCTCCGCCATGCCACCGGCCCAGGTGTCATGGTGTCTTTTCCATCAGGAGTGACACAGAAGTCCATCTGACTGGGTCACCATGTGCGAAGAATAGAGCTACCTCACGCCATACACAGAAGTTAACTCAAATCGGACCGAGACCTAAATGAAAGCTACAACTATGACACTCAGGACAAAGCAGGGGAGACACTTCGTGACCTTCAACGAGGCAATGGTCTCTTAGATCAGAAACCAAAAGAAAAAAATAGAAAAAAGGGACTTCGTCAAAGTTTAAAGTTTTGTGCTTCAAAATATGCCAATGAGAAAACGAAAAGAAAGCACAGAGTGGAAGGCAATTTTTGCAAATCATACGTCTGATAAGAGACGTGTAGCCAGAATGTACAAAGAACTCCTACAACTCAAAAAGTCAACCAATTTGAACACATTTCTCCAAAGCAGGCACACGAATGGCCAGCAAGCACATGAAAAGATGCTTGACGTCACTCTCCATCAGGGAGGCACACGTTAAAATCACAGGGAGACACCACCTCACCCCCACGGGGACGGCTGTGACCACACCACAGATCACAGTCAGTGTCGCTGAGCGGGGAGAAGCTGCAACACCCACACGCTGCTGGGAATGCGAAACGGTACAGCTGCTTTGGGAAACAGTTTGGAAGTTCCTGGAAAAGTTGCGCAGAGCTCCCATGTGGTCCAGCAACTCCACTCTCAGGAACACAACCAAGGAAAATGAACACACGACCACGCAAACACTTGCTCCTGTGGGTTGTAGCAGCAGCATCCATAGCAGTCAAAAGGTGGAAACACATCCTATACCCAGCAACTGAAGAACAGACACGAGAGCCAGGAACACGTGTGTCTGCACGAACACGTGTACGGCAGCGCTGTTCATTGGCAGCCAAAAGGGAGTGGCAACTCCAGTGTCCGTCCCTGGACAGCAAGAGAAACAAAGTGGTGTCTGCCCATGCGGTCTCATCCCGCCGTGGAAAGAAACACGGTACCGATTCAGGCCGCAACCTGGTAGACCTTGAGAACACGAAGTGAAAGAAGTCAGTCCCCCAGACCATGCGCTGCACGCGTCCATCCTGGGAGTGCCTGGAACAGGCGGAGCTCAGAGACAGGAAGCAGGTAGGAGGCTGCCAGGGCCCGGGGAGGGGCGAGGCAGTGACTGCGACCGTCCTGGAGTTGGGTGGAGGGGACGGCCGCGCGGCTTTGCGAACGAAACTCTGTGCATGGGTGAGCTGTGCTACGTGTGAGTCACATCTCAATAAAGCTGTCATTAAAAAGAAAAGAGTGACACTGCGCAGTGGGGGAAGGCTGAGGGGTGGAAAGGGTGGGAGTGGTGAGAATCTCCCCAGGACAACAACTTAGCAGAAAACAAGCGTTTCCAGATGCGGGGTCCCAGGTACTGAGAGCTGAGGGTGTCATGGGGTGGTCACAGCTGCACCCCGGGGCCTCTGGGCCAATGTTCAGACTTGGGGGCTGAGGGAGCCTCTGCCCCTTTTTGTGCCTTTTAGTCCAATTCTCTCCCAGGCAGTCAGGGCTCAGGAAGCCCAACAACGTGCGGACCACGAGGCCAACTCCGTGGCACAAACCCACCTCACCGCGCACCCCAACCCCACAATGCTGAGCTGACGGGAGGCCCCAGGACAGGCACAGCAGCAAGAATCGGCCGAGACAGCCAGAATAATCCTTCCTGAGCTGGGGACCAGCCAGGGCCGCATCCCTGCCTCGCCGCACATGTTTGCACCCGTGCCTCGTTGCCCGGCTCTTGGGAGCACGCCTGGGCCTGCTCTGCCCCCACGTCTCCGTCCAAGGTGGAGAGGGGAGGACCAGGGGCACAGAGGGTGGCCACAGAGCACCTGGCGGCTGACAGGATGAGCCCCACGTGGAGGAGAGGGCACCAGGAGGCATGTGCAGGGGCACCGGGGGGACAAGGGGAAGCCACCTCCAGGCAGATGCCTCCTCGCAGGGTCTCAACTGGCCCAGGCCATCCTGGCCTAGATGCTACCCCAGCATAGGCTCTGAGCCGCCAGGCCCACCTATGGCTGAAACATCACTGGGCAGATGTGGGAAGCTGGGAGCCAGCCCCGGTGTGGGCGAGGCAGGGATCATGGGACCCAGAACGAGTCCCAAAGCTCTGCTGTGCCTTTCCTGGGGGTGCCGCTTTGCCCTGGAACAAGACACAGACCACCTTCCCCCTCCTGTGGCTCACAGGCTGGAGCGACGTGGCATACTCTGCCCAGGTCGGGGGACTGGCAGAGGAGGCTTCCCAGACATTGCAACAGCTGAGGAGGGAGGGGACAAAAGGGCACACCAGCAGGAGTCAGGCCGGGCAGAGGCGCAGCGCCAAGGCGGAGGGGGCCCAGCGGCGGAGTGTGGCTGGGGCTGGGGGTCAAGGCCCCAAGGATGTGGACCGAGGAGCAGACTGGGACTGGGTATGGGAGGTGCTCCAGGGAGGGGCCCAAGCAAGAACCCTAGGTGGTGACAGTCCCAAGGCTGAGAAGGGACAGGCAGGGCACTGGCACACTGGGTGGCACAAGGAGGTAGGGCAGAGATGGGGCGCGAGGTGGGGCTGGGGGGGACCGGCAGAGCTGCAGGGCTACGGTGGGAAGCCCAGAACAGGGCAGGCCGTGGTGAGGAGGGCGGGGAGGGTGCAGACCAGAAGGCGCACAGATGGCCAGAAGTACAGTCCCGGGAGAGCGCTGCAACAGGGGCCTGGCCTCCGAGAAGCACAGGGGTGTCCCCTGCACAGGAGTAGTCCCCCACACTGTCAGCACACCAGAGCAGGCTCACCTGGTGTCAGGACAATGGGCTCGGGCTCCCCCCGGTTTCCATAGTAGCAAATGACATCTCCCCTCGCCGTGCTGTGGACCACAGGGAGAGCCGGTCAGATGGGAGCCACGGGGCACCCAGCTCCCAGCACCGCCCAGCGATCCCACAGCCTTGTCCCTGGGGCCCCGGCTGGAACCAGCACAGCCCACTGCAGCCAGGCCAGGGGCGACTCGGGGGCCTGGACAGTAGGGGCGTGCAGACCCCAGCTGCTGTCCAGCATCAGAGGCGCACTCCTGGCTCGCACTGGGGACCCCCAACCCAAGAGGCACGGCATCCAAAGACCCTCCTGGCTCGATGCATGCCTCATGGCATGGGCTTGCAGGTGCAGCCTGTGGTGACAACTGCAGGGCTGAGCCCCACCCCGTCATCACCAGTCCCCTCTGAAGGGCCCACCCCCAGCCACAGGGCTCATCTCCAAGGCCTCTGGACAGGTGGCCCCAGGGCGATGGAGACTTCAGAACAAAGAGCCAAAGATCTCATTTTTCTCTTCTCTTGCGCTAAGCGTACACTTTAAAATAGTTACAATGCACCCGAGTGGAAAAAGTTCCAGTTCCTCAATACTGCAGGGAGCCTTCTAGAATTTGGAACACCTTTTGTGCAAACTAAAGGGGACTCTTTTTTTTTCTGAGACAGAGTCTCCCTGTGTTGCCCGGGCTAGAGTGCCATGACGTCAGCCTAGCTCACAGCAACCTCAAACTCCTGGGCTCAAGCGATCCTCCTGCCTCAGCCTCCTGAGTAGCTGGGACTACAGGCATGCGCCACCATGCCCAGTTAGTTTTTTGTATATATTTTTAGTTGTCCAATTAATTTCTTTTCCAATTTTAGTAGAGACGGGGTCTCGCTCTTGCTCAGGCTGGTTTAGAACTCCTGAGCTCAAACAATCCGCCGCCTCGGCCTCCCAGAGAGCTAGGATTACAGGCGTGAGCCACCTCGCCCAGCCTAAAGGGGACTCTTTGTGGCCTTCCTGGCCTGATGCTGGACAGGGAGCCCTGTGCCTTCAGGATAAACGGACACAGGGAAAAGGCCATCGTGGGCGGGGAGCCCTCCTTCCTCGGAGGTGCTGCATACCAGGCAGCACCCGTCCCCCTACCCCGAGCAGCTTCTGGGCCCCCAATCTGCATTCACATTCTTACTCACCACGCCCGGCATTTGGCAACTTTCTTAAGACCTTTGGCTAATGATTTCAAAGATTTTGTTTGCAGGCAAAAGGCTCCTTTGAACTTTTTGTGCAAGGACCTGTAGAATCGGCACTCACTCTGGGGCCGCTGCCGGTGGTGCCTCAGGCCAGGCAAAGGGTGGGGCTGACCCAGGATGAGCCTCCTTCCCTGCTAGGCCTCAGCTTTCCCATTGGCACCCACGAGCAGGGCTGGTCACTGACCTCCCACACCACCATCTTCCAGCCTCTGCCCTGGCAGACACCAGCTTCTACCCGACTCGTGGTCCGCTCTCTGGACACTGCCTGCCCTCCTGGGCATAGGCAGGCAGACCCCAACCCTGCAGTCTCTGGGAGCCAGGAGAGCTGCCCAGGCTCCGGGAGCCCAAGCCCCCCAGCTGCAGGAGCCATCTGCCCACGTGTCCACTCAGAGAATGGCACCCTCGGCACGTGAATCGTGACATGGCTACTGAGCACCGAGTCCCACTAGTAGCACAACCACAGGTCAGGTGTAAATGGAACTGCTGATAGTGCAAAGTGGTCCCCCAGCCTGGGGAGCACAGAGTACAGAGAATAGGGACTTTGCTGCCAGGAACCACGCAGGCCTGAGCGGGGAGGAGGGCTCCAGGCAGTGAGTGCCCAGAGCCAGGCCCTGCCCTTGGGCCTCCTCCCAGGGACACTGAGACTGCAAAGCCTCCACCTCGAGTGCACTGTCTGTGCGGTGCAGGGTGGGGCTGCGTGTGCCCTGTGCCACGGACACTCAAGGCACAGTGCGCCTGGGGCGCGAGAGCCAGGAGACAGGCCACGTACCCGCCCTTGTGGAAGGTGCAGTCTCAGGACGGGCATCTGGACACGGACCGGCCACCTTCCGTCTGTCTGTCCCGGAGGGAGCCTCTGCACTAACAGCATCGGGAGGGAAGGGCGGGGAGCCAGGCAGGGGCAGGCAAGAGGGCAGATGCTCACCTCATGGACGGGCAAAGCACACAGAACCTCTGCAGTTCCATGGCCGCACCCCTAATGTGCACTTCCCCGGAGCACCCGGCCTCCCCTGGCCAGGACTGCCGTGGCCGGGACGCCCCGCTGGGGCCATTTCATGCAGCTGCCCTCGCGGTCTCAGCTCCTGCCAGCAACCCCCACACTGGTATGGAAGCTCCCCTGCTCCACTCCCAAGTCCCCGCCTGGTGGATCTGGGATAGGCAGGGTCCTTGGGACACCCGCCAAGCCACTGGGAGGGACATCCCTGCAGAGGCTGCCGTGGACGCCACAGCGCACCCCAAGGGGAACTGGCTTCCCAATGAGCCCGGGGGCAAGGCCGCCGATCCCTCCCTGCAGATGCACCTCAGGTCAGCCGCTACGAGGTTGAAGCCGTTGTACAGGTGGCCTTCCACAGAGATCTTCTTCAGGTAGGACAAGCTGTCCACCTCAGTGGTCAGAAAGTGGGTCACTAGTTCACCTGTGGGCAGGGGACAGATGCCTGTGGCCGAGGCTACGGGGAGGAGCCCCTCTCCCCAAGAAGACTGACACAGGGCCCCCTTGGGAGGACCCAGGCGGACGAGCGGGAGACCGGAGCCCTGCACAGGCACCACTGCAATCAGCCCCACCCCCTGACCTGCCTGCCACAGCAGTTGTCACCGAGAACTCTGCTCATTGTGGTTTTTAAAAAATTTCCCCCCATTATGCCTCCATGTGGAAATCCAGCACCAAGGAAAGAAACCTTTGGTAGGGACAAGGTGTATCCACAGAACTATCCTCCTGGAGGAGGCATCTGCTCTGCAAACATCCCACAGGCAAAGGACAATGACACAGTGGTCAGGAGTGACATGTGGGGTGGCAGGAGTCGGAGATCAAGCCTGGAGCGTGCTCCCAAGAGGAGCAAACCATGTCTGTGCAGGTGCTGCATGGGTCAGGCCAAGGGTGATGCCAGAGGGCTGGGGACACGCGCCCTCCCCTTGGTCTCGCCCTCGTCTGTCTATGCCGCCTGCCGCAACAGACCACTCAGCAGTGGCGCCATCCTGGAGGCCGGCCTCCATGGGGCCCAGCCTGCTACAACTGTACCTTGGCCCCACCCCCTGCACCCCAGACCAGCCTCACAGTACCCTGGCCCCGTCACTGGTGCACCCCAGACACCTTACCTCGCCCCCGGGCCTTGCGGTCCAGCTGGGGCTGCAGGTAGTTGGTGAGCGCCGCCAGCTTCCCATGCGTGGTGATGCCCAGCCACGTGCCCCCTTCCTTGCCCTCCTCCATGTCGAGTCCTATAGTGGATGACAGTGTTACCACTAGCAGCACCAACCATTTGGCTTCCCCACCCTGTCCCCGTCTGGTCCAGGAGACGCACTGCGCACTCCACCCAGCTCCTCCCTCGGCCTGTGAGCACTGGCAGCCCCGCCCCACAGCCCTGGCGGTGGGATAGGGACCCTGCAGGACCACACCCATCCCAGTGCCAACCTCAGGCCCTGACACCCAGCGGGCTGTGCATGGAGTCTGCGGAACGCATCCTGACACTTGGGCCAGGTCCAGACTGGGGGACAGTGCCAGGCTCCAACCACATGTCCTGGATCAGTTGCAGGGACGCTAGCTATCTCCACCCAGCAGGACCCATGGGCACTAGGGGTGGGCACACACCCAGGCCCCCCATCTACCCACCTCATCCACAGGGCCCAGCCAGGTCAGTGCTTAGCCCTGGGGCCCTGCCACGAGGTTGGAGAGGCCCTGAAAGCCATAGGCAGGTGCCTTCCTAGACTAGAGGGTCATTTTTACCCAAAGATTGGAACAAAAACATCTAAATCATTAAAACGTTACTTTTATAACAATTATCAACTACAACAGAAAAAGAAAAGATGTAAAGATAAGAGAGGAAGACATAAGACTGTCTTTATTTGTAGATGGCAGAATCATATATGAAGAAAATCCAAAAGGAATACCAAAAACAATCCATAAAAACTAGTAAGTAAATGCTAGCTGGGCGTGGTGGCTCATGCCTGTAATCCCAGCACTCTGGGAGGCCGAGGCTGGAGGATCACTTGAGGCCAGGAGTTCGAGACCAGCCTGGGCAACATAGCGAGACCCCATGTCTACAAAAAATAAAAATGAAAAAAATTTAGCCAGGCACAGTGGCACATGCCTGTAGTCCCAGCTACTCAGGAGGCTGAGACAGGAGGATTGCTTCAGCCCAGGAGTTCAAGGCTGCAGTGAGGCTGGGCGCAGTGGCTCACACCTGTAATCCTAGCACTATGGGAGGCCGAGGCGGGCAGATTGCTTGATGGCAGGAGTTTGAGACCAGCCTGAGCAAGACGAGACCCCGTCTCTACTATAAATAGAAAGAAATTAGCCAAACAACTAAAAATAGAAAAAATTAGCCGGTCACGGTGGCGCGTGCCTGTAGTCCCAGCTACCCGGGAGGCTGAGGCAGGAGGATTGCTTGAGCCCAGGAGTTTGAGGTTGCTGTGAGCTAGGCTGACGCCAC